TTTACATGTTCATGAAAAGTTCAGGACAATTAGTGTACAACAAAAACAGTAGCTGTACAGCACCAATAAGGAGTTCTTTTTTACTGTTTATGAAACAACTTCTAATAAATTGTACTGATTATCAGAATAATTATAGCAATAGATTTATTTGGAAAAAGTGATACAGTAATAATAACGTTGACAAATTCCAGGATGTGAAAATTGTGGAACATCATAAACAATGCGAGAAATCCACTAATACATAGGTAATTTCCATTTGAGAATTAATGCAGGGCGGATTTTTCATGTAAATATAGACAGTGGATAAATCATAGCTTTATTGTTTTTGTAAATATGTAAATTGCCACTTGATCCCATTTGGATTTGTAAACTGTAACATATACATATAAAATGCATAATAACTTTCTACCTTGAAATTTTCCGAAAGGTTTGGTAGTATTCAAAGAGTAGTTCATGGGTACCCGAGATAAAAATGTTCAGTCTCTCAGAGTCTCTGAAAGCGAGACTCGAGTCTCCATCTCTCATCGGGTCTCTCTGGTGACGCTGAGAGAGACTGTCAAGAGACTTTCAATAAAACTGTTTAGCGTCTCTGAACGAGAGGCTCGAGTCGCTCATAGAGAGATCCTCATTTCGTATTCAGTCTCTGAACGAGAGACTCGAATCTCTGAATGAGAGACTCGAATCTTTCAATGAGTGGTGTCTCAATAGACATGGTTAAAATTCAACATATTTCAGAGATCCCAGTCTTTCTACGAGAGACTAGAGTCTCTCAAATTTTCAGTTTTATTCATTCAGTCTCTCTGTGAGAGACTCGAATCTCTGAATTAACAATTTTATCGTTCAAGTCTCTCATACAGAGACTGTAAGAGATCCATAAAACCACCTAGGCAATAACTGAGAGACTGTGAAAGACCGTGAGAGACGCTGAAAGACTCTGAGAGACTGGAGAGACTGAAGATTTTTGTCTAGGGTAGGTGTAAATTTTGAATTTGAAATATTGATAAACGTTATAACATTTTAATTATCCAAACTATAGATCACTATACAAATTCCTTGTGCGAGCTTCCAAATAAATGTGTATTATTATAGAGTAATTTGGTATTGTTTATTAAGCGGACTTTTGTTTTAAGTACTACAAGTACGTTTCTCATTACCAAGTCTACTAATGAAAAGCAAACTTGTTTGAAATGAAATGTCTTTCTTGCGAGGGAAGTGTTATAATAGTACCAAGCACATAGAGAGGTCGCTTATTAGAAGCCCACGCGGTTATTGGTTTTATTTTTTAACTTATAAAACATGGCTGATTATTTGCGTTTATGTTGCTAATCGATTCGTATAACTCTCAAGACAAGCGTCATCTCTTGGCGCTTATTCCTCCAAGCCCTTCATTACCGTAATTTTGCTGCGTGGGCATTAATTGACACTTCCTGCTTCGTATTTTATCCTTAGCGGACTCCGATACGATGGATGGGCACAGTTCATTCCCATACGTGTATATGATGGTGAACGGTCATATATCCACAGAATGAAATGACCCATGATGTCGTTTACTTATTCCTTTAAGTAAATAATTGCAACTGAATAGTGCTTTACGATAAATTCTATGCACCAAAAGGAAAGTTGGAACCTTTATGTGATACTCAAATGCTTATAAGAAAAAAATCTATCTCTTCTATCAAAAATAGAAACTGTGTAAAAGTAAAAGCCTTTAAGATGTATTTAAGAGGATGGTAAGAATTTCGCAGATGGAAATGGTTTAAAAATGAAGAAGTAGTAGAATAGAAGACGTAATGGAATCTCAGATGTGAAGGGCTAGTTAGAGATATATTGGAAGCAAAATCAGGAGCTATGAGGGGCAGAGGTTGGCCTAGATTATATAGTACTGTTCGCAAATATAGCTGTAAGTTGATCTAGTTCCAGAAATGCGAAGACTTCCTGAAGATAAAAAGAAGTTGAGGTCCATGTCCGTCAGGTAATAGTCTTCGAGATGAAAACCTTACGATGATGATGAATACAGGTATAAACTTAAACTTAAACTTAAACTTAAATATGGTTTATCAGTATGTCTGCGACGACAATAGTTTGTGATACGGCTGTAACAGAAATATAACAGAAGCGTAATAAGTAATTTAATGTGAGCTTTGATTGTCCTCTAAGGGTGTGGAATCCTAGAAAATGAGCAATTTTAATCAATCGTCCTATATACATTTATCACTTGATCTTATAATACCTGTATGCATTTTAATTCTGTAAATTCAACCGCTGCGTTTTTTACATACAGTTGGCTTACGGTGTCAGGTGTCACGGAACTGTAAATTTTTAAAAAGCGTTCGCAATATACACATATGTATTTTATGTACTAGTTCGCGTGGCTTAAATCATTCATTGCTCGATAGGCCGTTCTTTAAACATTGTAAATAAAGTTTTACATATTACATTGTGGATTAATTAAAAACAATGGATTGTTTGATTAATTATTCCTTCTCTGGTGATTGTATACAAACAATGTTAACTCAACGTTGAATTAATGAACAGGACGCAATCCGGGTTCGTTGCATTTGCTTGCAACAATGACATTGGAACTTGCAACATTCGTGAAATATGCACGAAATAATAAGTGAAATACCATTCTGAAGATAATGAGCGGTTACTAGGTATTATGCAATATTAATTATTTCGTAAAATCTTTATGAATAAGTTAATTGACAATAGGCCCATAGTTAAAGGTAGGGGAAGGGTACAAGGGGCTGAAGAGCGGCCCCGAAATCGATTTTCGACTTTGACTACGGGTCTGTAGCATGAATATTTTTTGAAATACTTAAACAAAAATAACATTTTCAAACTAGAGAAATTTCCCTACACCTAGGTAATTTAGACCTAACTTTTTAATTTATTTAATTTATAATATAGCTTAATTTTTGAGCCGAATGAATTCTTCTTGTGTAAAGGTTACATTACTGGCATGTAAGGGAAGATGAAGTAGGGAAGGAGCGAATATAAGCATACAGGAGACGAAGTGGCTAATTTTAGGTATCTAGGAAGTCAGATAACTCAGGATGGAAAAAGGAGTAGAGATATAAAACAAAGGAAAGCGCAAGGTTGAGTCGCCTTCAACAAAAAGAAGTCACTATCGTCGCGAACAGTTAATTTAGAAGTTTGAACAAGATTATTAAAGATATGTCTGAAACGCGGCGTTGTACGGGTGCGAAACATGGACAGTGGGTGCGGCGGAAAAGAAAAGGTTAGAAGCGTTCGAAATGTGATGTTACCTGCGAATGATGAGGATACCGTGAATAGAAAAGAGTAGAAATGAAGAGGTATTACAAAGATTTTCAAGATTTTATTAAATATTTGTCAATAACTATAACAATAATAACAAAAGAAAAATAGTCTTTCTTTTTCGTCATAAGAATCTCCGTGAAAATATAAGATTTTGATAGAAAAACTGACGAATAAAAGAAAATTAATCTGGTAACGCTGATTTTTACTGGATAGGCCCTTGTCTTCGAAACGTGCATGTAAGGAACTTCGTTCCAAAAAACTTGATATCAAAATTTGGATTTTTCCTTCTTACTTTTTATCTCACGTTTTCGTAGATTTTCTTTTCTAACTTACTTAATCACGCTCCTAAGGTTATCTTCAAGCCATTACCATAATTTAAAACGCTTATTGATTATTGTGTCACAAATTCTAATGAACTGAATTGCAAACAGCAGTTATCATTTTCTCGTTTGTTTTTTATTTAAATGTCCGTCGGTGATCTATTTACCTACTACCCCATAAAACAATCGGACCTGTTTGCGACACACCTCTCGCGTTAATACACGTGTCTCTTGCCAGATAGATAAATACGATGCATACATACATACATACATACATAAATAAAGGTCAATGGAGAAAATTTAAAGTACAAAATCGCACAATCGGGCATTGTTCGGTGGACAGAATGCGGATTTGCCAATATTGTCTCTTTCATACATACACGAGCACAATTATTCCAGCGAGAACGGATATGCAAGTGAAAAATATTCAATAACAATAACACCCGCGATAATCTTAGATCTTCTAGTTGTCGTAGAAAATAAGCAATTTGTATGATAAGTGAAACAATATAGAATGGATGATCCATGAAAGTACCATAGTCACATTAAACATCGTTGTGTAAATCTCTACAGTGCAGTATTATTATTATTATTATAGATAGATACCACTCTCTGTCCCAGTTGGCCTTAAACGACGAGACCAAACAATTGAAAAGTAATAAACATTTGCATAGATTAGTTAAAGTCAAATAGGTAAATACATGGTGATCCTTAAATAATGGTGTCTACAGGAAGTAATAATGGAAATAAATTTTTGATATCTAAATATGTGTAATCGTCGTGGTTTAGTTTCGTTTCTCGTACATCGATAGAGTCGTTTATCTGACGTTTCGCCAACAAGTGTGCTTGGCATCCTCAAGGGGCGTATTATGAATTTTATGCGAAATTTGATGTAGGTACTTATTATACTTACCTGATAAAATGAATTAAAAAGTTGTAGCCTGTTAAAGTATGCTGATGTAAAATTCTCAGAAACGAGACAGGTCAATTCTCGGAACACAAGGATCTGCCCTGGCTTTCGCATATAACCAGTGGTGTCTATTTAAATCTTCGTAGTGCTTAAAAGTTCTCTGGGTACTCAACGAAACACACCTTTTTAAATGTTTGAACAGGTTAATAAATATAATCCACACGTGTGTTAGAAAATATTCTGTCAATTTTTTCGATTCTTATATCTAGAACCCCCGTCGTGCTTTTTAATAATTGTTAACTTTGTATATATGCAAAAGTCTAGACAAACCCTTATGTTTCGAAAATTGACCTGTTTCGATTCCGAGGATTTTACATCAACAAATTTTGTGAACAAGCTCTATTTGAAAATCAAAAATAAAAAGAGTAAAGTTTTTGAAAAATATTTTTATTCAATCTGTATAAAACTCTTTAACGTCATAGAAAACGTAAAACTAGATATATAAGGCACTATACAATATGGCATTTATAAATAACATGACTAGATCGAAGAACTGACTCGAAAAAGAGCCAGGACATCTGTTCTTTTATACAGGATATATAAAATAACTTGCTATTTACAAACAATAAACTATGATATAATAACTTATTTACAAAAATACAGATTCAGGAATGGATTTTGTACGAGTAATACAATCAGTCTTCTCAAGGCACTTAACATAGACCTTTTTAAATACTGTAAAGGGTCAAAACAAAAGGGAACTTCTTCCATAATTAACCAATAACAAAACATATTCCTTTATGACCGTTCATATTATCGAAGCCAAAAATAAATACATAACTTAAGCCTAACACTAACGAAACAAACTTATTATCGCATAACACTAATACGGCATTTTTTCGGAATGCATCAAATTCGGGCCGTTGCTGCATCCACCTTCCGCGTGCTTTGTCAGCAGCGACATCCTGGAAAACGTCTTGCTGCAAGTTGAACAAGAATACTTCTTCACGTCGGAATGGGTCTGCAGATGTGCCCTTAGGTTACTCCTGTCCGCGAACGCTCTATTACAATAGGTGCAAGAGAACGGTTTTTCTCCCGTATGGGTGCGGATGTGTCCCTGCAGCAACCACGGCCTCGAAAAAGCTTTTCCGCACATGGTACACTTGCAGGGCAACGTGTGGGTTCTGATGTGCATCTTCAAAGCACCCAAAGATACGTAAACTTTCTCACAATATTTGCAACTGAACGATTTCCTCGGACCTTCGCCCGCTGCACAGTGGAATTGTCTGTGTTTGGACAGTCCCGAGAATGTGGAGTAACTTTTACCACAGTCGGGGCACTGGTGTCTTATTCCTTGCCTCCTTTTTTCTGACAAGTCCTCGGCGGAACTCGGAGGTGGAGGAGACGTTGTAGAAGAATTCGGGCTTAAAGAATTTTGGTCGATTGAAGAATAAACTGTAGGTCGTAGAGCCAAAGGCGCAAGGGGCTGATTGTGATGATGATGATGCGTGTGGGGTGGCGAGCAAGAACTGTCACTGTAAGGAGATGTGGGACTTAAGCTCATGTATTCGTGATGTGGGTAGTGATAAGGCATGAAAGGAGGGTATGTTGGTGGATAAAGTGGAGCCACACTTCTATGCCATGTTGTTGGCGCGTATTCTGGACTGATTGGCGGCCTGTATGGCATACACGGTTCAGATTTGATTGGCTGATACAGATGATGTGGAGGCGAAGGAGAAGAAATTGTGGGCGACACGGGGGGCGATATGGTCGGAGATGATGTCGGAGACGGCAGCGTTGGTATATGTGTTACTGGAGGTGACGGTAACGATACTGGGCTGTGGGGTGAAATTGGTGACGACGGCGGAGACGAGCTTGAAGTTGAATTCAGACGTCCTGTGCGGCTCAAGTCTTCGGGCTTAGTGCTGAGATTCTCTGGTTCATCTGTAAATAAAGAAATGCACATCTTTAGTTCCAATGAAAAAATTAAACCAAATATTCAAATGGTCAGATCATGTTTCAATTCCTCAAAATTTTGTTGTTGAAGTTTAAACTTGCTAAAAATTATTACTTCATGTAGGAATTGATTTATTTTATAAAACTGCGTAACATATTTTGAAGAAAATGCCACAAGGATAATAAATCTAAGAAAATGTTTATAGCAATTTTTTTTTTGATATTTCGGGAATGGAATTTTATGCAGGATAATTACCTGAGAAATCTTCCTCGACGATTTGCACTGGTCTCTTTTTAAGAGGACAGTGACTGTAATTCTTCGCGACAACGTTCACAGGCATGATGAAGTCGCACTTAACACTTATAATAAAATAAAAAATCCAGCATATATTTATATCCACAAAAATTCAATGTCTATAATCTAACTGCTAATCCACAAATGCAAACGAAAGCACCGCTAACTCGCAACTAAATTCGGTAAGCGTACAAACGGTTTTAGTAAAGATCCTCACGACTCGGAATCGAAGACGTTTCTGTTGTAGGAAGCAGAATTACCTGTCTAATAACTGCTCCCCTACCATCAGCAAACACCAGCTGGTCTACACTCCGTACACGTGCCCACAAACCAATGAGAATTCAGCACTAACACATCGGCCAATGATTGAGGTTACTCGTAAATAGTGGGGGAAACAGGTGCGCTACCGAAAAGGACTGCGAAATACGGTATTGTCCTGATCGGATGTCCTCAATCGGGATTGCCGTTGTTGCTACACTCCTAAGACTCGAGCTACCGCTTATTGATGTTACAGATGATTTGCACATCTAGCAATTATCGCTACATGATTTCAGTAGTAGACCGTGAAAAAATAAAAGGTGAAGGCGTTCGCAACGAGAAAAGCACGGCGAAAGCAGCTTCAAGACGGCTAAGATACCGAGCGAAGCGGTTAACTAAACGGAGACATCAATAGGCGGTCAAGAAAGAAACCTGTTCGCATAATCGAATTTAGGAGCTAACAAAAAAATTATCAGAAGACACTCCCGCTTGCGGATAATTCTAAATGACGTTTATTAAGTAGTCACTTATTTAAGCTAAAAATTTTATCCTAAAATTGATTCGGTATCACTTAAATCACGCATTTATTTACAAAATGAGAATCTAACAGAAAGTTGTAGTTTGGATTTAGCACATTGCGATAATAAATTTCAGATTCGTACAGATAATAATAATAATGTACAATTGCATAACTCTTCACACTTTAACATAATTAATGGTTATTATTGATTGTAATTGTAAATTATAATTTGATAGAGTAAAAATGAAAATTAAAAAGTGTTTCGGATTTATTAATTAAACCGTGTTCATAGGTATTAAATTTAGATGACTTGGAACACAATCATTTTATAATTGTTTATTTTTCTTTATTTATTTATTTTAATGATGTTTGCGTGATGTATAGAAATTGCATGTAAAATTGACTACCTAAATAACTAGTGCGTTTGCCAGTTTAATCGTAAGGGTGGTTTGTAATATCCATTCCAAATGATCATATTTACTACAGCACTTGAAAATACGTCCATAAATTGCTAATGTTACTTAAGATAAACAGATTAAGCACTTCTTTCAGTTAAAGTATGATGGGTAAATATAATTTTATGTAAAAGTCTGATAAAGCACGTACGTCCTAATCATTGTTAAATTGTCTTGTTTTGCTTCTTCGATAAACAAAGTTATTAAAGCTTAATTTATTTTTTCAGTGGTAATTAAGGACTTATTTCAAAACAGAGATACAATAGACACTCTTGGATTTAGAAAGTGACAAATTTAAACAAAGCTTGTTTTCCCCAAAATTGTCTTATTGACATACGGTGGAATGTCAATGCCTTGAGGTTTATATTCTGTAGTATGTTTTTCTACTTCGACACTTTTAGAAAAAGAACAATATTATGTTGAAATATGCACATAATATAAAAAGAACGCAAACTAAAAAATATGTAAAATAATACTAAATAATCCACAGCAATAACAATTAATCAATTTAGTCACAAACTACCAGAGTTATACCTCATATTATCCTTGGACTTATCAATATCCCTTTTTTTATTTTTTCGTAAAAATAAGCTACATATTATTTTTATTGCCAGTAGGTAGTTCAAAACCACCAGTATTTAAGTTAAAAAAAACTTACTTAAGAAAGCTCGAAAAGGAAAACAATAGTGGAAAACAGGCAGTTCCTTCCGTCCTCAGCATATCAAAGTAATTTGAAATAACGCCTTTTAAGTGTATTAAATATTTTGAAAAGTAAACGTAACAAGAAATGCTTTTTTATTCATTAATTTTATGCATAAATAAAACACATTGTTTATAATAATTACACTCAAATCAATAATCCTTTATTAGTTTAATTTCATTTTGAATAAAATATTTATACATATTTTCAACCACTTGAAAAATAAGCTGTTGCATGAGGGTTGAGAAGACAATTGTAGCGACTAAGGACAATATACTTATAGAAAACTCTGTAGTCTTATAGATTTGCCAGAAATGGTGTTAGGCAAAGTTCAAAGCATTGTTAAGCCTATGAATTTGGGGATAGGATAACTACATAAGATTACCTATACAACGAACTTTTCTGCTAACAGCAAAGATACACACNAGTTTCTGGTAGGTAAAAAAATTTTGGACTGACAAATTGGTAAAAGGTTTCACAACCAATTGGTAAATTTTAGAGGTTCTTCAATCTCTGATGCTGGATGTAGACAGTGGACATCCTATTACGAAATGTTAGGAAGAAACTCCAACCGACAAAGGTCTTTAGATCCGAATCAAGACAATACCAGTTGTTTGGACTTGAACCATTTATGCATAATTACAATATTTCGAACCCTGGCAATGTTAACACTTTCGGTTTCCTAGTCAGGTGTAATTTCGGACTTTGGAGAGATCCGGCAATGCGCGGTTCTCCTAATAGGATAACTACATAAGATTACCTATACAACGAACTTTTCTGCTAACAGCAAAGATACACACATGTGTAGGTAGGTATATGGAAAAGCGTATGTGTGTGTATGTATGTATGAGATATGTATGTATATATATATGTGGTAACATCATAGTCGAGTAAGGTACATACATACCTAAAGGCACGCGCGGGACAGCTGCGTTTGTCGGGAGACCGTTACGAACACCCCAGGTTGTTAGGGGTGTTTTACTCCTTCCCCCCTTGTTCCCCGTCATCCGTCCGTCGTCCGTCTCGCCGTATTATTATACGGATCGCTTTACCTCCCTACATGTATGCATGCACCTATCCACTCACTGAACGTGCAACGACATGTGCAAAAATACCTTTTGCTCTCCGTCTATAACAATACATCCACAGAGATGTACCTTGCAACTACGTACCTATATTCGGAATAATAAATAATTAATAAGCACCTACTATGCACAAATTTACATGTACATATATATCGTATGTTGTACCTACCTATGCAGATTGCTCGTTATAAAATAGATCGGATATGATATTCATAGGGCTCCTCCGTACGAGTGTAAATCTTTTAGAATGAGACTGTTGCCTTCAATTTACCACTATATAACGATTTTTTTTTTCCATTGTAAAGAAGATCGTTACGCATGTACTTATGTTAGTGTACTTTATTTACATACTACACTGTTGTAGTTGGTTTGATAATATTAGACTGACGTATGCAATTTACGTACCGATACGGAATAAATTAATAAATTTCTGGATTACCTACTTATTTAAATCGGATGCATCTTCATAACTTATACCCGAAGTGACAATATACAGGGTAGAAGTAAACTGAAGATTAACTAACAATGTGTATTATGAAATTGTTACAAAACTGAATATTTATTTTACATAACGGCTATTATTAGTGTTAGTTTTAATAAATTAATGTTTAACGGTAAAAATTAGTTGTCTTGTTGATAATATAATCTGAAAAACAATAATTGTAGGAGGGCGGTATTTAGAGATTTCCAAAATATATCAGTAACAACCATGCCACCGAATTTCTCCAAAATTGAAAGATAAGTGTTAAATTAGTAGGTTTCCTTGGTGACTTTTTATTATTCTGCATAGTATAAATACTCATCTTAGAGTTGATTTTGCTCATTGTGATTGTAACGGTTCAGTTTGTGTATCATTTGTGTATCATACGCGACGTGGCATTTCCTATTCCTGTCCCTAAGTACTTATTCGTTTCCGGTAAGTAATAAAGAAAATTAGGAGGTAGCCGCAGTAACTTTTCGCTCAGTCCATATGTCACAAACAATAAAAAGCTTCTCAGCCGTCGACATCGCACAAAGTAATCGTGCCTTTTGTCAAAGGAAGAGGCAACTTACTTCTTGGTTACCGTATACTTGTAGGTACCTTCGGGAGACTTCTTTTAGTAAGCCAAAAGGTAACGTGCAATTACGTCTTCGTTGTCTTGCGTGTGTGTGTGTGTGTATAGTTGTTGTTGTTTGTAAGTATACGCTATCGTATGTCGTCTACCGGTAAAGTCCCTGACTATGTTGGCGAACACCTTGCCAACATCACATTGACAGCAGATGCAAAATCTTTTCAGGATTTACCATTACTTCCCCAATTCGAGAATAAGAAACATCTGGAAACGACCCTCGACCCCCGACCAGCCAGGGAGTCTACGTCAAGTCGGCGAGTTTATTTTTATTATCACTTTACCTACCTGTGTATTAAAGGTACAGGCATAATGCACCTTGTTAATATTCTCGATCATGAACGAACAGGGAAATCCTACACCTAATATAATTTACAATGTTACTAAAATGTTGTAAAGGGACAAGTGACAAACACATTTTAGTCTTTTAATAAATGTGGGAACCAAAACATTGAGCCCTGTATTCAATAACATTTTACCCATCTTGTGGTATGAATATTATACGGGTCTAACTATAAGTAGGAATCAAATCAAAAAACCCAGGAACTATTAAAAAGGAAAATTAATACAAAAAATACGATTGGATAAAGGAAAAATGGTCCTTTTTGTATGAATTTTTGTTAAGGTTATAACATTATTATTAACTATATGAAACATGCGGATTGAAAACCGAACATAGAGATAAACCTTCTTCAAAACAAAAATTTTATAGTTCTGTTTTTCTGGAATCAAGTAGATCTGTCTTAAACTAATAACCAAGCATTTATTAGTGTAGAAACGGATACAATACGAGAAATTTGTAAACAAACAAATATCCGAACGTCCATGTGTTCTGCATCTGGTATAGATTCCTTTAAGGAAAATATTTTCTGTTGTAATTCAGGTGGGATGTCACGTACCGGTTATAAATTTTAAGCTTTAACGAAACAGCCCTTCAAACGAAATTTATTGAAGAATAAACAACAATGGATTCGAAATAACGTTAGATAAAATGATGTTTCGAAAATATGATTTTCGTTTTAAACTTGAATTGAAAATTAAAGTAATTAATTAGAGATTTATTAATTAATCAGCTTCTAACAAAGATTCTCCTAAATATAT